GTAAATGGGTTTCAAAATCCCTAAATAGAACCTTCTATTCAGCTTAACTTCATATTGTCTTCTCAAGACGGCTTATTATTCACAAATGTGTTAAGGATTAGCTTCCGCTTTGAGCTATATCGATGTGCATTTATAAATTTACTTACAGATTACATTAGCCACACAAAGCTATCACTGTACAAACGCATCTCAGAACATTACTTGATGTGGCTTTTAAAAGAAGGATGCAAAACAGTCACCAGCTTAGCATAAGAGAATCTAAACAACTCTGCATATGTCACTCATAAAGAGTCTCCCTCCAAAATCTACACAATCAAAGGGACTAGATTGAAGTGAAACCGTATCAAAAACTTATGCACTACTGAAGCGTTGTCCATCCAACAACGCAAATCCGAACTCTGCATAAAAAAACGATACATTCAACCTTTCATCCTTCCTTGGCCCTAATTTCCTTCTATAGTACGTTTTGATCTCGTTTTGTTTTTATTCTTGTTTTGTAATTTTAAGCTGTAATCAGTTATTATTATCCTTTGACAGTTTTCCTTGATCATTAGTCCAGTTATTATTATTACCTTTATGTTCTCTACTTTCCTTCATGCCTGTCAAGCAGGTACTTATCTTTCATAATTCTGACTAGTAAACTATTTTTATCCTATTATTCTCTAACCCCCTGATTATTACGCAACCTCATTTAATATTTCAAATTTTAAATCACATTCTGATGTAATATTTTTAATCTTCCTATAAACATATATTTGTTAAACAACTATAAATATGAATTTACAGCTTAAGTAAATGGTTCTATCGAAAAGAATATTTCCTAAGTTAAATTCTCTATTTTTACTCGATCATATAATGGATTATTTTAATCACCAGTTCTTTTCTAGATTCAAACAACTTTTGCACACCATTAACTTTTCACCAACAAAAATATCATTTAAGGATCTAGGAGCACTAAAGTCCCAGCACAACTAACAGTTACTCATAAAAAATGGGACATGTTTCATACTAGTTTACTGTACATTCTTTCCCCAAAAAAACACAACAGAAATTAACATTTTTAGATGAGTTTCAATTGCATCATACCACTTCAAACCAAATAGACATTTATGATTAAAAAGAAAAAGAAAATTCTGAGAAATAATAATGACAAAAGTAATTTCTAAAAAAAATGATTACAAGTGCACATATTCAGTCCTCAATGTGGTTAAGGCCAAATCATCTCATAATAATAATAATAATAATAATAATAATAATAATAATAATGGAGTAATATATTCGAAACAGTTTGGCCTCATCTATTTATCAAAAAATGATAGATTTTTTAATCTTTTGTTCTACTCATAATACTGTTTGATAGTTTTTATTTTTATTTTTTTCACTTAATTAATTGAATCGTAATTATTTTATTTTTTTTATTTATTTCAATCAACTGATCTGTACATAATGCTAACTAACACCCGCAGGTTCAAGTTAAACACAAGCAATATAACACCTTAAATTTTAAAAAAAAACGTAAATTGGTAATCTAATAATAATAATATACTTACATATATAAATATGTTTTCTTTTAAGGACAAAATAAATAGTCATTTGAATATTTTATGCTTAGGTTTTAAGTAGTATTGTAGTGAACAAGAACAATAGTTGGGGACAATCGAATGTATTTAAGCACAAATTACAGACTATCTCACTAAATTCTGATAACCATACAACAAACAATTAATTGTCTCAATCTTAACTGTTCCTTCTGTAAATATCAGTTCATCGTCTCTAATTTCATTGTTCATGCATTTTCATACCAATTGCGCTTCATTTTAGTTCTTTCCTTATCGGTCTTCTGCCAAAATACATTCTATATCTGACCATCACCGTATACTACTTGTATGGATATAAGTAGACTACACTACAGTATTTCTTACAAATAAGTAAATGCCGACATTCAGGCATATTATTATTTTCATCTAAATATTAATTCATTTTAAATTTTCTAGTTCAAAAATTATAGTTATAAAAAAATTGAGGAAGGCTATATAGAGTTTAACAACAATGCTTCTTTTACCTTCCTTTACATGTGTGGTCCCTGAATAGTATACAATTAAACTTAATGAGCTGTTAATTTGCTTAGTTACGGGTTCCAAGTATTCATAATTTTTTCAAATAAATAAGCGGAAAATGTATTTGCGTTTTTGTGATTAATTTTATCTAGAATACAGAATATTAGATTGACATTGAGATAATTTTTTCGAAACGTCTCATTCTTTTATTACTTATGATTGTTTACTAAATTTAAAAAAAAATTGAAATTTCTGAATAAGTAATTAATTTAACATAATAATGAGTATGGTTTACATTAAAATAACAGAGATATCACGACTTACAGAAACGGTAGCCCAAATATTAGATATCGGTTATGAAATAACTAACGAGAGTGAAAAATGTACAATGTCTGTTGTATCGCCTAGATGGATAAATTACTTCGTTGGCTCATTTTATGGATAGAATAAATGATGGTTAAGTGATCAAATAGTTTCAAGTGGATACACTGTTTAGGTCTTCATCACAAATAATTTAATAAAAATAATCTGGTTTAGGCCACTAAGATAGTTAAGCTATTTAAATACAGTTCATCAAATAATATGACTCAAAGTTGACCGAATACATCAGATCCGAATACTTTTGGTATACCTTCAATTAGCAGATTACATATGCTTTCAAGGAGAGCTTTTATAGTGTCGACTGTTTCCTAAAATATATTTATTGCTCTTCCTGAAAAGCCCTACATCACAAATCAATAAACATTTCTACCAAACAAAAGTTAAGACTTCCTTTATCCATTTATATTAGAGCCGTTTTGAATTTTCAGCTTTTATTCAGCTTTCCAATATTTTATTTGATAATTGAATGAAAACATTTAAAAATTGGTGCCAATAAAAATTATTCATCTCTCTGTGTCCTATTTTTATGCTTGGCATTACAATTAATTTTCAACACAAATATGACAATTGCCTAAAATGAAGTTTTATTTTCGAAGCTTGGGTGTTTCACTGAGGCTTGTGTACTGTTTTCTGTCTAACAGTGTCCTGAACACTCCATCAAAAACTGGGATACTTTTCTTCATCTAGTATATACTACTCGTTTAATTAATTTACCGTGCTATATTTCACTTCTCTTAGCTAAGAAAATGAATTTAATATATCATACATGAGTTAATATTATGAAAGCCTATCGAACAGTAAATCACTTAATTTAAATCCACTTTTCAAATATTAATAAAGTCAACACTGAAAGCTTTAAAGGTAATTTGAATATGATATAATAAAATTAACAATAAATATGGACAGATGTCTCTAAAAAAGACAAGTTAGTTTTAGAGTGCTACATCAAAAGAGAACTTTACAAAAAGACTGCAAATTTAACATTTTTCCCAAATATATTTAGAACATAAAACCAAAAAAAGCCATAAAAAACGTTACTTCGTTACTCGAAAGTTTTTAAGGTTGGCTGAGTTTTGAGAAGACTTTAGTGGAGTTTTATCCCGCTTCAGAAGAAACTTTATGAAGTATGTTTTCTTCAACATTTTCAGAAAAACGAAAGTAAAAGTTCAGATAACTACATATCACCATCAAACATCATAAAAATTGAACATAAGTCATTATTATCTCTGGACTTTGCAAACGACAAATTTAATAGGCAACACTTATGTTTTTTATGATAAACGAACTGAATAAATGAGGTTGTCAAGTTATTTATGAATCGAAGCAGGCGAAGTCCTAATATATTTAAAAGATCAAGACTGTGATGATCTAGACTATTATTAATTTTGATATTAATTGACATACTTGTTGAAAATAAAGTATAACGGACAAAATATTCCCCTTGTTTGTGTAGGGTCGTATCAGTCGTTGAGCTTAAAGAGAACGGTTGATAAAATATAGAATGGGAAGACGTATATTCATCGCCTTTACTTTACACATCGTAAACTATCAGCAACACTTAGCTCCGGTTTACGAGTTACCTAGGCTATTTGGATTTCAATAAACGAGGTACACAAAAGGTTAAAGAAACACTTACTAGTTTTTCAGAATGAAGTGGAAATTTTGGAAGCTACTTTCTCACGTCATAGTACAAACAAGTGATACGTTCATGTGTGGTAGAGTCAAAAACCTTTTCGATCGATTTTCGAGGTAAGTTGTGTTTAAAAACAACATTCATTAAGAGTAACATATGCCATAAAAAATGAAATCGATTCGTCGCCTATCAGTTATGAGAATCATAAACATATGAAGTGTAGATTAATTATGCAGTTAAAGTCAAGTTTTATCCGGAGAAACCTCATTGTGGCAATACAGAAACATAATCGTAAAATTTATTGATCTTTATTTATCCGTTTTGCCCTGAACTTCAGCGCAAAACATTGTTAAAGAAATTCTAATGATAAATGACTTCTTTTGCAAGGATAACTTTTGATACAAACATGTATCAACTAGAGATCTCTCAAAACATACTAAGCACTCAGTGATCCTCAAACTAGAAAAGTACATGTCTAGGATTTTATAATGAACCGAAGATAAGGTTCATACGATTTGTGACTGTTGCCTATTAATTGAAACATCAGACTGAAATCAGGAAGTCAACATTTTATTTCTCATGTTCTTTAAGTCATTTCATAACACTTTCATTTCATGATGGTTTTTGCATGAGATGCTAAACGATATGTAAAGACTCTGAGACCAAAATAGGTATTCAAGACATGTTAATTCTCATCGGCTTGTTGTTCTAAAGACTATCAGTAGATTTAATTCCTTTTCACAAACCATCATTTAAAGTTAAACTCCAGAATTTTAAAATTCCATAAAAGACATATTTATGACACTTTATAAACAAACAGTAGGGAACTGGCGACAACGAATGAGCGCCTTGCTGGTTTCGTTGTTAAACAAAGTAAGTAATGTTCCCTGATTCTATCAAACTATATGTTATTCTGAAAAACAACTTACATTTACTTCAATTGGTTTGAAATTGGGAGCTACTTTATTTTCCTCCTCGCTAGTTCCTCTGAAATTGGACTTTTTGGGAGAGGAGTTTTCCGGACAAATGTTGCTGTTGTTCTGCACTGAATTCGATGCAAATGATTTTTTTACACGCTTTGATTTAAAATAAACCTTTTTTCTTATATTTATATTAGATCTTGGAGAGCAGTTAATAATTGAGTTGCATAACATATTACTGGCAGAGTGTTTTAGATTTTGAGAAACAAAACCATTCCGAACACCAACGTTAGAAACCATATTATGTTCAGTAGCGTTTGAGAAAGTATATTCTCCATCTCCTTTCAATGTTGGGATTCGGCTGTTTTCAGACTTTTGTGATGGATTACACCTATCTGGTTCTTCGTTTGAGGCATAGTCGTGGTTTTCCTTATTTGACTTATCTGAGTTGTGTACTTTTGCCTCAACATGTGGTGGCAGATTTAAAATGAAGGGATCAGAAGTCTTATTTTTTTCTGAGCTCGTTAAGTCCACTGGCAACTGTAAACTGGTTTGAGCTTGACTTTCGGACACATAAGTGCCCGAAAGCTGATTAGACTGCTCGAAACTCACACCGGAAACTCGTTTGTACTCATTAATCAACTCTTGATTACTGACCACAGTGTTATTAGACTGAAAAATATCGGTGAGAACAGCCGACAAATTTACTGAAGAATATGAGCTTGAGGTGTACGGTGGTTGAACTGGGAAGTTAGTGATATTATTTGTCTGTCCACTCCAAGTCGGATTATGAACTGGAGAATTCACACTGACATCATCTAAATGTTGATGTGGAAGTGAATTGTAAGAGAGGGAATTTTGGATCATTCCAAAATATAATTCCACAGATTGTTGTAAAGCGTAAGCTCTGTCTATTAACGATTTATAGCAAACAGACATGGCTTCATAATTTGGACAATTAGATTTTGGAACAGGTATATTAGTTATGCAAGTGCTAATAGAATTTATAACATTTTGCCGCCAATCTAAATATGCTTCATATTTCATAGAAATGTGCTTGTAAAGTTTATCAATTTCTTTAGAATTTGTGTAATAGAACTCATCATTATAAGATCCGTTAGAAGGGCATTGTTTGTTCGAAGTAACAGTCACAGGATTTGTAGAATGATTCACGTGAGTTGAGCAAAATAAATTTGACAGATTGTTGGAAAGAGAGCTGCCCGATGTTTTATCAAACCCATGATTGACTTCCGCTAATGATGGGCACGAAGAAAACGATCCACATTTCAAATCATTCGACGCCTTATACTTCAAAAGAAAATAGTTCAGCATTGCAGCATAAAGTCTCACGTGTTCTGGAGGTGTGGTTATATTGCTGTCACCTAATACTTCACTTGAACGTTCGGTACCATTTAAGGTGGAAGGGAGAACATTATTTTCTTTTGTAACCAAATTTATAGGACCAAATGTTGAATTTTTAAGCATCGTTTTGAAATCTTCTCTCGAACCTTCTTCGGTTGATTCTCGTTTTTGAGGTGCAGCAGTTTTCCTTTTTCGCTTGTTAGAGCCATAATAATATTGCTCGTCAGATATATCATATTTATTATCGATATAAGTGTCATTGAACTCATTAAATTGATGCATTGCATGTATCATAACACTTCTTGGCATAATATTTCAATTCATTAAACTACCTTTAACAGTGACTGACGAATGACGAATTCACGAATCTCAGTGTCTGTTTAAAAATGTACGTCATAAGCTACTGCGATACAGATACCAAATAACTCCGTAAAACAAAGCAGACTTTAGAAGCGAATGTTATTTCGCGTGAAACTTTGAAAGTCAGGCTTTAAAACTGAAGAGTTCTTTCAATAGAAAAAGTAAATCCAAACTTATTTTGCATACCCTCTGCAGTTGTAAGGGTAAGGCAATAATAGTCCTTATCCCTTTCACACAAAGTATCGAAAGTGAAACCACTGTGAAATGCAAGTAAAATTTCACTGGGCTTTAGATGAGCCGTACGTCAAGATGAACAGTTTTCATTTTGAACTACAGTTCAATGAAAGTCAGTCGAACGTCATAAAGGTCGAAGATAACTAACACCCATTATCCATCTGCACACCAATGACTGGCCGGTGAGTCAGAGGCCTCGCTCTTTTTACATAATCAATTGATACTTATGCATTATTTCAAGAGCGGAATGTCTGCACTACGTCGTCAGCAAAGTAGACGCAGTACCTGGACAACACGAAATAGTAGTCCACGTTAGGTCGCACAATCATCCCTCAGTTCAAGTAGACCGCGAACGTCAGAATAGATCGCATGCACTGGTGACTTACAATCTTGTTTCCTCTGTAAATCAACTCTGCAGGAATAGTAGATTTAAAATTATTTTGTAACATCGTCCCTAACAACACAATCCTTAAAGCTGAATACGAGACAACTGGGAAAATATATATCCGACTTTTAACGCCGAGGAAAACCGAACGATAGAGAAAGCGGGAAGAGTAGATACAATGAACTCAAATTCATCGAATGGCATGGCTCAGCCTTGCGGGCGTGATCATTCTTGTGTAGCTATGCGTTTTGTTCATATTAGGTACATTGCTCGATCTTCGGAATAAATATGTTCTCCATCATATGTTGGTGATTGTTACGATATGACGAATCAGTGTAGGCGATGATGTTGTGAAGGTGAATAAGTCTGGAAAATTAAAAGCATTGTAATTATTCGACATTAGATGATGACCACATTAGTTTTAATGGACTCACCTAGCTGAAGGCTCTCGGTCATGCATACGCACCAGATCACGAGCGAAAACGACATGCTCAATATCCCGTGCAATCTCTAACTAGATTAGAACAGCCGATCCACAGTATACTGATGATCCATCAAATATATCTTGGAGCCTCCTCGCTTCTGTCTTTCGATTTCACTTGAAGGGTACGATTCATAATAGGTGTTACTGATAAAAGCCTTGTCAAAACTACGATACCTGTGCCATCTTCAATGTGACTTCCATGCCAGATCTTGTAGATTAGGCAGTTACATTATGACAAATCTAAAATTTTAGGATTAGGTGTACTTTTATACTAATACTAATAATGAAGAGAACCATTATTCTACAAGTCCACCAAGTAAACACCCCTTGGATTGATCAGTGGTATGTACTTAGTTAAGTTTGATAATTTTAAGTAGTTTGATGAGTGAATAATATAACTCCGCCTGTAGCACTTCTAGAGTTACTGCCGATCCCAAGTCCGGGTAAAGGAGGAGGGTTGAGCATGGGGTTAGCGACCCCATCCCGTAGAAAAGCTAACTCGCTAAAAAAACGCTAACCAGAAAAAAATTCAATCCATTTAAACTCTGCCCTGGTAGTTGGAAGAATAATTATGACGCCTCATAATGAAAGCCGAAATTCTTCGGAAGTCACGAGGCCGATGCACCTTCTAACAACCAGAGCAACACTCTTTATGGGTACATGGAACGTCCGGACAATGTGGGAGAAAGGGAAGACCAGTCAAATAGCAATGGAAATGAGAAGATACAACTTGGCAGTACTCGGAATCAGCGGAAACCATTGGACACAAACTGAACAACAAAGGCTAGGTACAGGAGAGATGTTGCTGTACTCCGGTCACGAAGGGGAGAATGCTCCACACACTCAGGGAGTTGCTCTAATACTGTCCAAAGAAGCACGAAATGCACTTGTGGGATGGGAATCTCATGGACCTAGGATAATCAAAGCATCATTCAGAACCAAGAAGCAAGGGATCACAATGAACGTTATCCAATGTTATGCACCCACCAATGATAGCAACGACAATGATAAAGATCAGTTCTATGAAAGGCTGCAATCAATTGTAGCAAAGTGCTCACGAAAGGACCTCACCATCCTGATGGGAGATCTAAATGCTAAAGTTGGAGTGGAAAACACAGGATATGAAGATGTAATTGGACGACATGGACTAGGAGAGAGAAATGAAAATGGGGAGAGACTTGCAAACCTATGTGCATTCAACAAATTGGTTATAGGCGGCACAATATTCCCACACAAGCGCATACACAAAGCTACATGGATCTCACCGGACCACACCACAGAGAACCAGATTGATCACATCTGTATCAACAAAAAATTCCGAAGATCAATGGAAGATGTGAGAACCCGGAGAGGAGTTGAAATAGCTTCAGATCACCACCTGGTTGTGGCCAAGATGAGACTGAAGCTAAAGAAAGACTGGACAACTGGACAAACAGCACTACAAAGGTTCAATACAGCCTTCCGTCGAGATACTGACAAGCTCCATGAATTCAAGATAACTCTCAACAACAGGTTCCAAGCTCTACAGGATTTACTGAAAGAGCAAGAAACTACTTTGGAGGACAACTGGAAAGGGATAAAAGAAGCACTAACTTCAACGTGTCAGGAGGTTCTTGGTCCTAAGAAGCATCATCACCAGGTATGGATCTCTATGTGAACACTGGACAAAATTCAAGAAAGGAAGGACAAGAAACTAGCAATTAACAACAGCCGAACACGAGCAGGGAAAGTCAAAGCACAAGCAGACTACGCAGAAGCAAACAGAGAAGTGAAGAAAAGCATTAAAGCCGACAAGCAGAAATACATGGGAGAACTAGCAACGGCGGCGGAAAAAGCTGCAAGAGAAGGGAATATGAAACAACTATATGATACAACGAAGAAATTGGCAGGGAGATATAGCAAACCAGAGAGACCAGTCAAGGACAAAGAAGGAAAGACAATCACTGGGATTCAGGAACAGAGGAAAAGATGGGCAGAATACTTCGAGGAACTGCTGAATAGACCAGCCCCATTGAATCCACCGGACATCGAACCAGCATACACTGACCTTCCTATAGATATCACTCCACCAACGATCGAAGAAGTCAAGATGGCCATCAGACAAATCAAAAGTGGGAAGGTGACAGGACCTGACAATATACCAACTGAAGCACTGAAGTCAGACATTGAAGTAACTGCAAACATGCTTCACCTTCTATTCAAGAAGATTTGGGAAGAGGAACAAGTGCCAACGGACTGGAAAGAAGGATATCTCATCAAGATACCAAAGACAGGATATCTGAGCAAATGTGAGAATTACAGAGGCATCAGTTTGTTATCAGTACCAGGAAAAGTTTTCAACAGAGTGCTGCTGAATCGGATGAAAGACGCAGTAGACGCCGAACTTAGGGATCAACATGCTGGATTCCGGAAGGATCGGTCGTGCACAGACAAGATTGCGACACTACAGATCATCGTTGAACAATCAGTTGAGTGGAACTCATCACTATACGTCAACTTTATTGACTATGATAAGGCGTTTGATAGCGCGGACAGGAGAATATTATGGAAACTTCTTCGACACTATGGAGTTCCTGAAAAGATTGTCGACATTTATCAAAAACTCATACGATGGACTACAGTGCAAAGTGGTACATGAAGGACTGCTGACAGATGCATTTCCAGTAAGGACCGGAGTCAAACAAGGCTGTCTACTCTCCCCATTTCTCTTCCTTCTATTGATTGATTGGATTATGAAGACTTCGACATGTAATGGGAAATATAGAACGCAATGGACTTCTCAGAATCAACTAGATGTTTTGGACTTCGCAGATGACCTAGCCCTCCTCTCTCACACACACGAACAAATGCAGATGAAGACCGCAAATGTAGCAGCAGCCTCTGCATCGATAGTCCTTCACATTCACAAAGGAAAAAGCAAGATTCTCAAATGCAACACGGAGAACACCAACCCAATCACACTTGATGGCGAAACTCTGGAAGAGGTGGAAACATTCACATACCTGGGAAGCATCGTTGATAAACAAGGAGGATTGGCAAAGCAACGGCAGCATTTCCACAATTGAAGAACATATGGAACTCAAAACAACTCTCAACTAATTTCAAAGTAAGAACCTTCAATGCGAACGTCAAGACAGTCAGTTCTACTGTAATTAGCTGAAACGTGGAGAACTACTACGACCATCATCAGGATGGTACAAGTATTTATAAACAGTTGTCTAGGCAAAATACTCAACATCCATTGGCCGGATACTATTAGCAACAGCGTTTTATGGGAGAGGACAAACCAGCTTCCGGCTGAAGAGGAAATTAGGAAAAGAAGTTTGAAGTGGGACATACATTAAGAAAATCACCAATGTGCATTACAAGGCACTCCTTAACTTGGAATCCGGAAGAGAAGCGGAAAAGAGGAAGGCCAAAGAACATATTACGTCGCGAAATAGAAGCAGATATGAAAAGGATGTATAGCAACTGGAATTCTTTCTTTTAGCTTCTACTTGTCATCACTCTTTGATCACAATCTCAATATGAGTGTCGTAAAGTAATATCTCCATGAAATATACGACTCTAAGGGTTTGATATTTTAAAATTGCTCCCAAAATGAGTCATGTTTCCAGCTTAGAGTACTACAAATACTAACCATATTTTCAATAATTATTCGTCACTTGTCAGGCGAACTGTCATTTAAAAGGACAGAACAACTATTAGCAGGATAATGACAAGTTCCCTGGTGTTGCATTGGCTTGTCGTGATACATGTAATAAATAAACTACTTAACAATTACTGAACCAGCAAACATAAAACTTTCTTACATTTCATGTTTGCTCTCCACATTAAATGTTGATTTTTATATCAATCTGATCATGCCTGTAAACTGGTGTGAATTCTGTAAATATTATTTTCATAATATATTATTATTATAAACAGTAAGCATTATACCGGTCACACAATGACACAAAGTAAGAAAATGAAAACATTAAAATTCCTTCCCACCTTACACATGCCATATTTTGGCATCTTCAACTACTTTTCAGTGAAGTGTTATCCATAAAACATCAAAATTTCCTGCACAAGTTTACCATCAATTGCGACAGGAAACTCAGCTACCAAATGCGAAAGGTAATAATTTCAGGCCGACTTTGTCTTCACATATTCACATACAATTTCGGTTTTATGGTTCCCGAATACGATACCAAATGTTAATTTGATACGGCTTATGCAAAAACCATAGGCTGCAGGCCATTTGTAAAACAGATACGAGGTCATGAATTTCTTCCTTATCTCAACAACTCACTCTTCAGAGGCTCGTAAGTTATAATAACGATAAAAGGTAATCAGATAATCATTGTAAACCATGAAGCATTAGGCCCTCACCACAGCTTATACCAAGTGCATTTCAATGGTTAATTTATAACAAGCATAAACTTTTTAAACAGTTGCATTACATTAATTCCTAAAAGCGCCACAATTCTTACACGCGAAACCTGATAAGCGATTACCAAGGTTACAACTCCGGTGGGATACCATTTCTGAACAGGTCATGAAAACTGTGAACTCATAGTATAGTACTCTGGCGTAAATGTTATTATTAACCATCTGGTATATGTTCACGAATTAAATTTCGCTTATTTTCATTTATTTTATCTGTTTGACAGCCCTGCTTGAGAAACATTTTATCTGTAAATCTATGTTACAAATTATTGATCTTGCCTGTAGAAATGGCGTTTACCTGGTCTGTTAGAAATATATTATTATTATGCGAGGAACAGATCTTTGGGGTAAGGAGATATGATTGTGGTTTTGAAATCATTGGGAATGTATTCCTTAATGGAAGCAACAAATAACACAATACTACAAAATTATCTTTTATCATACAGTGAGCTAGAATAAATCAAAAAATAGCAAACGACTTAAGCGCCTATCCATTGAATATATTGTGGCTTACCTATTTCAAATAAGTGTAGCAGTGAACATGTTCCGAAACAAATGGTTCTGCAAATCTTCGAAATCAATGCTGACCCCAATAATTTCACTGGATATTTCATAGCTGAAGGCGCTTGGTTACCCATTCACGACAGATCATCATTGGACATGTCGTGCTGCACATTCCCTATAACAACTAAGAAGACTAGACCAAACATTTCTCGACATACAGAATATCTCCCAAAAGTATCTTCAAACTACTTCATCCATGACTTATGGATTAATAAGGTTTGTGTTCCTTCGATTAAAAAGTTATTATAGACAACACAGTCACCAAGAGCCCAACATCAATGACATTTTCAAGGGCTCGTCATCAGAATTTTATATCTCCAATCCAACCTAACACCTGTCGAGTATAACATTCTAAAGTTATTTTCACTCGAATTTCAGGCTACTCTGAAAATTACCTATAAGATTCGTAAGTGTCCCTATGTTCATGAATCCATCAATAATTACCACCCCTCAACATCTATCGTCAATAATCTGGATTAAAAATATTCCACGTGTTGTGTGATGATATCATTTAACAAAGTGACCCACTAGCATTGCTACTCTACTACGAAAATTCACTCCTCTACTTCACATAAGCATTTATGCTTTCTCGTGGTCGGATCTTACCACCATCACTGTGTACAGTGCTTTAGTGCGGTCAGCAAAATATTGGAGCACACAACTGACACCCATGACAGACCGTTAACGTAGAGTGAAAAGATTCTCACAGCGATAAAGTACCAATCACTAGCACCTTGCAAGTTGTATAGCTGAGGAGTTCCAAATGATTATGCACAGTCTTATATTATTCCTATTCCATGAAAGTTTTAATTGCTTCAACAACATAACGATCATCACTGTTATCCAAAAAATTATACTATGGTATTTAGGTCTGTGGCCGGTATCAGTCAGTCTTTCAATGTCACAAGACAAAAAGACTTGGTACCCTATAAACGACTCTCAATAATATGATGCCCCAATCTATAAAATTTCATTTTGAAGTCACATCATTATACTAACGTGCCGTTTTCGCGGAAGTCATGGGTGCTCCTTAGTAATAAGAAGAAAGGGACACGTTTGTGGCAACCATGTCTGCATGACAGAGTTATTAAATCTATATGACATTCCCAGGAGTTTGTTTACTTAGCCTTAACTAGTTCTCACTAAATATTCAACGTTTAATGTAAGTGTTCCAAGTGATGGTGTGTCTAGCTTCACGGTTCACGCGATTAGTAACCAGTCTAATTTAATTCCACCACAGTACCTCAGAGGCATCCCATAACTCGAGGACAGGTTTCATCAAGACCCATAGACTTCTTGTTGTGAGTTGTTGGAGTAACTATATGACTCCTCTTATCACAATTTGGCAGATCGTTTAGAAAATGAATCCTAAACGCACTACTGAAATAATTCGACACGAGCTCAGTCACGCTGAAATCTAGAGATAATATCGCTTCAATTCTCCTTGATTTCCTTTAAACCAAAATGGGTGACTTTCTAGAGATGCTTTAGGAATTCGCAACGAGTAGCCTTTCACAAGATGATTCACTTTGAATGACAAAGATTGGTTCGTTTTTCTCTTTAAGGCAGTTGACCTGAAATATTTTCCTAAACATAAACCTCAATAAAAACATTGAAAATCAAGGTCAGGATGAGAGTGCTGTGTTGATCGATCACTGGTTCCAACCATGTGATGTGCCAGATTTATGTACAAGTGTGGTTAGAACAAAACAACTGCTACTACAATATCGACATATTCTTTAGTTTTTGATGAATGAAAGTTATGAGTTGAAACTTTTCTTTGGTAGTCCGGAAGTTGGATTGACTTTGCGACAGTCGAAGAAACACACTACACGTGGTTTCCAGTAGAATCGATACTAGATTCACAGTGATTACCATAGTAGAATAAACAAAGCCACGGCAAAGCTATGACATGCGTATAAAGAAATTATATTTAGTATTCACTTAGAGTGCCTAGTAAAAACTCACACTAATACCTTTAAATATATGGGGAATAATCGAATACTCCAGGACTTAACAATATTGACGTTCACGTTTTTCCTGTTGAAACGTTCTCAAAACAACCACATAATAATTCGAAGATAAATGGATGCTAAAATGTATTCGGAATATGAACGAACGTACCATAGAGTATAAATTTCAAGCGAACTAGATGTCAGTTTACGCCATAAAGAGTTAGAATGTGATCTGGTATTGCTGCTAAAATGAGCACATTCGTCTATTAGTATCGCCATTACAACAGAAGTAGTGAGAATAATTTTCAGACGGCCACAAGCTATTTGTGTCGGGGACTTATTTACCCGTACACATACGATCATAGTTATTTTAAACCATGTGGAAGAGAATGATCGTTTAGCCAAGAGAAAACATAGCTTGACATTCCTTCTCATTACAAGAGAAGTTTGGGATGCGGTGAAAGATAGATATATTCCGGTAGACGTAATTTCCATAGATCTAGGAAAACCATTCAACAAGGCTTCTCACTTAAGTATTAAATTAAAACTGGGAAGTTTCTATATCCATTGAAAAATCGGAAACTGGATAAGTGAGAAGGTCAACAATGGTGAAATAGTCTTACCAAAGTAACAGATTACAACTATTTAGTAGTCATATTAAGCAATGACCTTAAATTTGCGAGTAATTACAAGGCTACTGACGACAAAAACGTTAGGGTCTTATGGGTTATCTTAGGTCATTGTATCATCTGAATGAAGAAATATTAAGAGTATTACACTTGACGTTTTCGGGACTGCATTTGAGACATAGTATCCAAGCAGTGAGTCCTCTATCAAGTTTGTAGTGTATATGTTAGAATGAGTTAGACGGCGAGGGACCAAAATGATGAAATATTTGACTGACGCATCCCACTGACAAAAACTGAAATGCCTCAACCTATTTCTTTTATCTTACCGCAGGTTGCGGGGTGACTTATAGCTGACCTACTGGTTACTAATATGTTTCACTTTTTACTTCCACCTAGCACTGATCCTCTAAGAGAAAATTATAGGAAAGTCCAAAACCGAGACCAAATGGTTTAAGCCTGGAGTCTCACGATAAGCAAGGAATTACAGGAGTTTTCTAGCAGAATACGTAATGTCAGCAGTTTCTAATGTTATACTTGAGGCAAGGTGTGATTTTCATACTAATATAAAATCAAAAAATTAATATAGGTTGATTGATTTCCTATTCGTACTACCGAAGAGTTAGAATGCTCACTTTACTAAATGGAAGTATTTCAGGAGAGTGTCTGGCATTACCTAGTTGAATTACACTAAGGACACTGAGGACGATAGCTCAAAACATTAGTCGCTTAATAAATTTGCATTTGATATGGCCCCATTTTTATGTATTTATGTATGTTTACAATGATACTCCAAAAATGTTCACAAGCTCAGAACAAATGACTTGTCAGCTGATCATCGACTTTCTCATCGAATCATAAACAAACGGTATTCATAACCTCATCACGTTATTGACGCTCCATCTATCGATACTTTAAAAAGAAAGTTGGATCGACTGAGAGACCACCACTTTCAGGAAAAAAAAGTCACATACTATCCTGTTCTTTCCAAACTGAGAGTGAAACTATCACCAGCTCGTGACAAAAAATATTTTATATTGGATAGCAGTTCGCTTAAATTAAAGGTATGTGTTACAGTTATGAAGTTGTCGGACTTGAAAATCAATCGACGGCCTCTAGATCGTTCTCGAACAAAAGAAAGTAAGGTACCCTCATTTTCATACTGCGTAGTTATATCAAGGGTATCTAGTTTGATTGAAGAAGCCGAAAATACCAAAGTGGATTCGATGGAAGGCGAAGCGGATGATGGTCGATACATTGAATTAGTTAGTAAATTGTTGATTATCTCACCCATCTTACTTGAATTGAGCAAATTGCACGATTTTAATTTGGATCTATTTATCAGTATACATTACAGCCATCCTATTTGTCACTCCATTTCCTAAATTTAGGGAATCGTAGCTACGTTTGTTTGGTTCATTGTCTAGTCAACATATAGCTTTTATGTTTTACAATCCATTATGTCGAGTCCTTTATTCATTTATTGGCGCCCTTTCGGGTCAGATTTTCTCTAAAAACAATTTCTCAATAGAGTTTTCTCTAAGCTTATCTTGCATCGGGCTTGGTAGAAATTTAATTTATCGTCGATCTCCATACATTAAAACCTTATCTATTCTAAAACTACTCAAGAACTACTATTTTTTCGGGTGGTTGGGGAGGGTAAGGGTCATAGTCACGCATGACTTGGGTCATCGTTGTTAAGCTAATATGGTCACGATTAAAGAACTTCGAGTTGTAAAATGCTCTAAAATGGAAATGAACGGAAGTATTATTATGAACTCTAGTATATATATATATATATATATATATATATAAGTCCGGAATTCGCTCAAAGGGACGATAAATATAACTCTTGGGTTCAAGTGATCATTTTTATTGTTCTCCTGAGAGCCTTGTAAATATATTCTGTGCAGTTAAAAAAGATGCGAATGAGTCTAATATGTCAGGTTGCACTGAACCCCTTGAATCTTATGAAATTACTTCAGCCTGTAGTTTAAAACTATTCCGAGTGTTAAAAATGTAAGAACTCTTACAAAATCTCCAACTAATTCTCCATAAAATGTCTTCACTAAGAGATGTCAGCTAGTAATTTGGAAGGAGATTCAACACCAATTGCTGGGATTGAGTTCTGGTTTCCCGTTTGTTGTCGACCCTATTGTAATTTATGACTAAAGTTTGAAGCAGTATAACTTAAATCACGTTTAGTCTTCAGTAATAAAGATAGTAGTTTGGTGGACCTGTGTTAATCCTGGCAGTTTGCATTCCAGTGAAGGTTCAGCTTCTCCTTGAAAATGTTCACTGATGGGGCTGATGCCACCTGTTTGGGTAAGGCGTTCCAGTCATTGACCACTCAACGAGAAAAACGGAACACCTCTTTAAGTTTATTAGATCGCGGTTTGTGAACCTTCTTGCTATGACCTCGGAGATTATTAGCGCTGGAGGGAACAAAAAGATGAGACATATTAACACCCAAATCGTAACTAAAGATACAAAATGCCAACATAAGATCACTTCGCGTCCTACGATACGACAAGGGGAAACGGTTTAGACGTTTCAAGCGCTTATCGTGAGGGAATTTAGAAAAACCCTTCACTAATTTTGTTCCCACACGCTCGACTGAGTTAGTATCCCTAATCAGACATGGATCAGCTGTTTGGATGTACTACTCTAAGTGTGGTATTACATAGGTGAGATATAAAATTCGAAACATTTCGTCAAAGCATATGAATGCTCAGCGAAGTGATCATAACTATTACCGTGTTCAATATGCATGAGCGCTTTTCCTAGAATTAACTTTTAAGCCCCGATCTCGAGCCCATCCAACCGATTCGTCTAGGTCAACTTGGTGATCAAAATGATCAGCCTGACTTCTTGTTGTCCTCCAGACTTTTTGATATATGTAATCTCGTTAATACTTTCGAGGCAAGACCGTTCTTTTTATGCATACCTGTTTTAGTCTTGTTGTCAGTTTTTCCATTATCTTGTATTCACATAAATTAAGTGCCCTCTCAGATATGAACTCTCCTCTTGTGATTCCGTTAGTCAATAAGTGATACGGTAGTACGTCACGTAGAAGCGTATCAAACAGTATATGGACGTAGTGAGGAGTCTTTATGATAACTCCAGAGCTTTAGCGAGATGTCGTTTCATCTAATTACGCACGCTGATATATAAATATCCTGTTTAGAATAAACATATAGGGAGAATAATTCAACGATGGTGGATTCTTTTGCTTTAAACTGACACAATTACCTGTTGATAACCCTTAGGTGATTTTCATTGGTCCCCATTACTTCATTTGTCGAGTTAGCTTAGTTTTCCTCGGACAGTATGTTAGTACGTTTCTTACGGATTATATTCTGGTATGCCCTTTTTATAAGAATACGAACTATTGTAGTTTTTATTTTTGCTTATAGGATTTACTCATACCTTCCGATGCAAACGATGAACCATTGGAAATTCCAGTCGATTTTTCAGACTCATCAACTGAGGATGAAGATTCATCTTCAGAATCGGAAAGCGAATTCCGTGAAATAATCATACCATCTCCAGTTAGACTTAGTTTAGCAGTTTCACCTCTTTGTACATCTCGCAAACTTATTGAAGAACTAAAATCTGTTTGTACTGATGATTGTATAATATAAATTCACTTGTAAACTGTTTTCTTTTACAGTTTAATAGACAGCATTTAAACTGGATCGTTAACCGTAAGTTTGTTAGTCCACCCCCCTAAATGTCCTAGTACGACCGAGGGTGGGGAGAGTACGCTCTCAAAATGCTCTCATATGGCCACGCGTATATATCAACTGCCAGTGGAATTCTACTCATTGTTTTCTCGCGTCTAGCGTGCTGTTTACGAAATTATGAAGAGGAAAAGCGAATGTCCAGAGCTCCAACCGGGTTGGTTAATACAGAGGATCCACTTGGGCGCTTGGAGAACCCTGATTCCAAACCAATGGTGCACATGGGCTGAAGGATCCTTAGGGGACAAATGGTATTCGAACTTATTTTTGGCCAAAGACCACCGTGGAACTGCGTCTCCTAACGTTGTTCCTTTGCCTTGTGGATCATACTTCTGGGTCAAAGGTTTGGGCAGTGGCCGTCTAAGAAATCCACCTGCTTAGGTCTGAGCACCCAGGCAGTATCCCAGCGCACACATGAATCCAATGATTTGTGTGGCACGTATATGCTTTGGTTTCTCTTTACACCAATGTTTACGTTTAAGTAAAATAATAAATAAATAAGTAGTCCAAACACGTCCTCATGTGTTTATTAGTCTTGCGCTATCGAAGCCACACTCTGTTAACACTGTTAAGCTCTAGGTACTGTTAGAAGCTTATTTGTTGGGTAATGTGGTGTGACCGATGTGCTAAATTGCATACAATGCCTATTCTTTTATTTGTGTATTGGTCTGTTGATATTTCAAATGTATACATTTCTGTGCAGCTTAGTCATCTCATTTTATACTTGTGGTTATGGATTGTTTTTGATCTTGTGGCATGGAGGATAAGTTTGAAGTACTTCACTGACTATTGAATAACTTTGGGATTCTTATACAAATATTTACTCGACTGCGGCAATATCCTCTATCTAATTTCTTGACATCTAGTAGATAGCTTACCTCATTAGTAAGCTGCGTTTCACAACTACGGACATTTGAATCAAGTTAGGCAGTAAACACTAAACTCCGTCGAATTGATAAACGATTACTACCATGTACTACGCAGCATAAGTGTAAACTGATTTGTTTCCTCAACTTTCACATGATCACAGAGGAAATCCAACAAAAGAGAAATAAAGGAGTAAGAATAATAAACAGAAGTAGATAAGTAGAGGGAAAAGACTGATTAAATCAAGCAATAACATTTATCAGATGTTGCTGTGTGGAGGATAATACGTTCATCTGTTGTGGTTACCTTGTAGATACTTCCCAAGAAGTTTGCTATCTCATGCATGGCTAGCTAATGGTCGTAAAGCTTGTAGACTGATACCATATCTTTGTTTCCTTAGTCTTAGATGCTAAACATGTTTGTTTATGGATTTATAAAACTTAGTAAACCACTATTTAACTAAGGCTCACAATCTCGTAATTAATATACCGAGTTTTCGAAGTATTGTTAACTCACGTTAACTTATGATGCGCAAAAAGCTTAGTGCAACAGCGCACTAGATTTATCACACAGCCAAATAACACTGGAGAAAAAAAGGGAAAGGCATATAATCAATAAATAACAAACAAGAATGGAGTCTAGGTATCATAGCCTAAGTTCAACTTGATAATTTTAAATAAATTAAGCACTGGGTAAATTGTTGATAATAAAAAGTGTCAAATTTGTAATATTTCAATGAGTAGGAAATTGGACTTCTGAGGTTTCATAGCTTAGTGTAAGTCACTTCATCAGACATTAAATAGTTGGATTGAATTAACACTATTTTAAGTGATGTATAAGAAACAAAGCAAAATAATTTTAGTTCAATCAAAATAAGCCTGAACATGTTTGTGCCATGTTATTCCTGTCCGAGGTGAATACAATAGAAAGCTACAAAATATTTCCACTGACTTCTATTCTAAGTTATTTCTGCTAACATATCAAGGCAATTAGTTGTAAGATTTCAGCCAAATAGTCATGATAACCAACAAACACTAATTCAATACAACCTTATCGTTCCATGTCACAAACTGACCTCATTTTTTCCACATAGTCTTGGTGTTAATACAGTAGTGAACAACGTGAAAGCCCTTCCAAAACTATTTGTAAAACGTGTCCAACCCAAGGACGTTAGTGTTCCACGATGGTAAAAAATCGGGTTGTCATCAGTAGACTCGGTTACATGACTTAAACGGAAACCTGCATCCTCCTTGTGGTAGACCTGGGTGTTTGTTTCTTTAGGTGAGTTGGTAGTCACCGACCAAAGATCTTAGTATGGTCACTTGATATTGTTGGGGGCATGGACCAGTTGAACTGTTCTTCAGAATTCCTTGTCCAGCACGCGAAACATCTTTCATGATCGTTTACTTGCGTCCTATAAAGCCCACTGCTTTCAACTCTGATCACTATGTTTTGCTACTTCTTGAGCAAGTGTTGAAGTTTTATGTATAAAGTACCCACAAGAATTGCTGTATTCCCAACCCTTTGGTATAAATCGGTAGGTATCTAAAAGTTTTTAAAGATCCTACGAAAATACATGGAGCTTCAGGCGGTTTCACTTCATATTTCTATGGTATCATCTAGATGCAACACAAATGCCATGGTGGAAAGCTCATGGTCTTTTTACTTTTCTATACCATGTTATCTGATCAAACTGTTATTTCTTGTACTCTGGAATTGCAGTTCTAATCGCTTACCACAAGATATGTTTCAATATTATTTTGGATAATAGGTAATCAACAGACAACACTTATCAGAAATTTATAGCATGTCAACGCAATACGTTTTGAATAATTTTATTACACTGAACTGCTTCATTGTTGTAAACAATTAGAACGAAACCGTATATCTTGGGTTTTGCGCTCGTTGAAATCCATCAAGAAGACATTTCCAGTCTGATTGGAAACAAAGAGATCTTGAGCGCTATTACAGATATGAAATTGACTTTCTCCAGTTGCTCACGCTATGAGAAGATAATTTTTATTGTGGGACCTGTTAAAGAATCTGGACTAGTTCTTTATTACCTGAGAGTGTAACTGAGTATCTTAAGGAGCAGCCAACTGAGATCGATCAAATACGGCCGCTTTGTGAGCAGTTCTTGGTTTGTTAGCCTTTTACCTTGTAAACCTTACCACCGGTAACGGAGACTGTGGGGCAAGGTGAGGTGTTTCATGCTTAGCGACGATCATTTACAACCTTCTCGTTTCGTAGGGAGAAGACAGCATTGCTTTAGATGTTTATAGTATGAGGGATACACTTTACTACCTTCACACTTCTATACAATCTGCAATAAAACCCTGCTCCCGAGCCTTAGGTATAATGCTTTTAGGTTTGCCAACCTCCAACCAGCCTCTTTGGAGTGGTATAAATAAAGAAACTAGTATTCCAGCAATTATGGGTCAACTGGGCCATCACAAACACAATATCATGATCCCAGCTACGGCCAATCCGTAGTTGGTAACGTCAGGTAATATGCCTCAAAATCGGTCATACTGATACAGATGCATTTACTATTTATCTCCCTCCAGTGTTCCTTCATACATACCTTTTCATTCCTCCTTCTTGAATCATATTCTTAGTCTTTTTAACTAACATTGCCAATAAGATTATTTCTTCGGGTTCTACTATGCTTATGAATAACTGATTTTCAGTCTGAAAGAAACTCATCAGGTTATCATGTCCTCATCATTCAGCGTTGAAGTTAATGAATCTATCAGTAAACTATCCAAACAGGATACCGATTAACTTACTGCTTTTGAATAATTTATCCATTTCTAAGCAGTGGATAATTGACACTTTAAGAGCTCAATAGTAAAACTTCTGATTCTTATTCACTGTGATGTGAGTTCTGATCTAAGCTTGGAGCAGAATTTATCTCTGATGGTAGACAAGATAAGATTCTAAAGAATAAAATTACATATTACTTTCCGGAGTCATTAACTACCACACATTTTGTCTTCTACCGAAATAAGTTTTTCCAATCACTCTCTGAACATTAAACTTAATCCATGAAAGTAAACATTCTGTAACGTTGCGAAAACCACATCTAATAATCACCTTTATGTAACATACGATTGCTCTGTTTGTATGGCTTAACTTGTAATCTTGTATAATGATTACGTGGCTAAGGTCAAATACTTTTAGCGTTGTGGATTTTACTACGTTTCTGTAGGCAATACAAAGTCTTTTGTAACAGAAATATTGTCTAGTTAACGAATATTAAAGATTATTAGTATATCAATCATTATAATTCATAATAGTTTACAACATTTTACTATATTTTAAATGTCCTGTCAATATTAATAAACAATAGCTCGAGTCTAGAGTGAAACATTCAAATAAAGGGATTACAATAAAATGAAGATCGATAAATGGTGAACAATTATAATTCATAGTTTCAATTACTTTGTTTATTTTATTCCAAATGAATTTTTAATAAGTCTTACAGTTATATCTGTTTATCATCATTGAGATATCAATGGTAACTTGGAATAGTGAAAATAAAATTTTCAATTATAAGTGGTGATTATTTGGATTATATATACGATTAACACAGGTTTTGTACTGCAGATAGAATGCGAATTTCTTCATAAAGATAATTGGATTTTATACCTTCATATGTAGATGTGAGCAATCAATGAAGATGTTTTCTTCATGTTTCTTTTGAGTAATTTCTTTAAATTCCCCTTAGGATAAACATTTTGATGTCAATCTGGCTGACATTTCAAAATGTAATTGTATTGCAGAATATTCAACTTTTCTGAACTCTCTCATGCTTCCTCCCTACTTAATTGGTCCTAAAATTCGCAATTTCCCAGTACATATTGAGAAAACCCATCTTAAAGTTAGTGACATGATCACAATTAGGCTAAATAAATTTTCGAAAATCTCCATAGAGACATTAACACACCAATGATATTAGATAACAAGAGTACTTTGTCACAAATGGAGTGATGTTGAGAATCTGTACCTTTGGGTTTGCTCTCAATAACGTAAACGGAATTTTCTGATTTTGAAAACAGACTATTTTAGAATTGATTCCAAGTTGAGCAGATGGGCACCTGAAAATTTCCAAATGAAAACGAAATTTCTGTCTAATGATCATTAGATTTAAATACTTCTACAGTTGATGCCAGTTCGGGATAGGAACTACTTAAAAACTTTACAAGACTTTTATTTATTAAACAAACATATCAGTACTTCCCATTGTCTAAACTATTAAGCAACGGAAAATTGAGAATAATTAACGATACTAATTCAGTGAATTTGCTCTTAAACAAAGAAACTTTGCGGAAATTTGCTCATACTGCTACATATAAATAGTCGATAATGTTGTACTTGAGTAATTGAAAACATATTTCTCTGGAAATTACCGACTATTCAGCTACAAACATTATCCCTTGATCCTAAATTTTGTAGTACGTCAGCTAACATTAATGAACTGAATGTTAAAATCCAGTTTGAAAGTCTCATTCGTCAGACAAATGATTTTCTTCCAGTATCTAATAAAGATAGTAATTCTCGATAGTACATGCATAAATATTATGATTGTAACTAAATCTGATCTAAGAATCATTGAAACAAACGCCAAACTGTAATCATTAAAAACTGATTTCGAACATGAAAGAGTATTCTTGATTCTGTGAAGCAATGCTCTTAAGATGATTAGAATGTGTGGACGAGAATGATAATGATTGTTTATTTGCTTAGTCAGACATGGAGATGGTCTGACAGGTGTCAGATGAGTTTATATTTCCCTATTCTTATTATCTATTAGTCTCGTACTTCTAAGCTCCTTCAGGCGAAAGAATTCTCGAATATTCGCTAGTTTTTTCAGATTGAGTCTGTTTGTAAAGAAAATTGCCTTCACATTCACATATTTCTTTGTCAGTAATAAAAAATATCTGTTTAACAAACTACTTACATTTTACATGCTAAAAGTGTTGAAGAGAAGTATTTCCTAGTTGGATGATAACATCTATGCTTTCTCTCTCCAGAATAAATAAGTACTAAAGGTAGAGCAAGCACATTAATTTAAGAGATCAAGACCTCGAAAATGAACTGGTTAGAGCTGATCAGTTGATTGTGTAAGCTTTACTTATTCCAAATGCAAATAATGGAACTTTTATTTGCGTTTATTTTTGAGAGATATTTTACTGAGCTAACACCATTTAGCCAACCGTGAATCGATGTTTATAGTAGAACAAAAATAAGTTATTAACATGTGGTGAATCAGATAAGAAGTGCACACACATACTCTCATGTAAAAGTAGTCAAAATTTATAAGCGAATAATTAACGAGGTCAAAATGGGACTCCAGAAGAATGAATAAATTGGCCTGTTCGGAAGCTGTGTGGGTTTAACATAGCGACCGGCACTACAGTAAACCAGAAAGGTCTGTCAAGAAAATAGAAGGCAAGCCAATCACTGACGTTCAACAACAGAGGAACAGATGGATAGAACACTGTAAGGAACTCTTGAACAGGCCGGCTACATTGAATCCATCGGACTTCGAAGCAGCACACACAGACTTTCCTATGGATATCGCTCCACAAACGATCGACGGAATCAGGATGGTCGGTCATCAGACAAATCAAGAGTCAGAAAGCATCAGGACCTGACAATATATCAAGTGAAGCACTAAAGCCACACAACGGACTGGAAAGAAAGAGACCTCATCAAGATACCAAAGAAAGGAGATCTGAACAAATGTGAGAACTACAGAGACATCATACTACTGTTAGTACAGGGTAAGGTTTTCAGAGTGTTATTAGACAGGATGAAGGATTTAGTAGACGCCGGAACCAGAGATCAACATACCGGATTCCATAAGGATCAATCGCTCACAGACTAAATCGTAACACTAAAGCTCAATAATATATATATATATATATATATATATATATATATATATATTGTTATATCCCAATGAGTGGAAAAATTGTTTTTCTGACGTTTTGTGACTCAGTGTAAGCTACTTGTTCAGAGTAAATTACTAATTGGATTCAGAAATACAATTTTTCTACTCATCGTGATATGACAAAAACTATATTTATTATTGACATTCTACTCAATCCTCAATTATTTTGAAACAATCAGGTACAAACTTGGCACTGATACCCACTACAGATCATTGTTGAATAATCATTTGAATGGAACCCGTCACTATACAGCAACTTCCTTGACTATGAGAAAGCGTGTGACAGTGTGAGCAGGAGAACCTAATGGAAACTTCTACATTATGGTGTACGTGAGAAAATCGTCACTGTTATATGGAATTCATACACGGGCGGTATTCCTACAATTGAAGAACATATGAAACTCGAAATAACTGTCAACCAATATCAAAGTGAGAATCTTCAATACGAACGTCAACACAGTTAATTCTCTTGTACGGAGCTGAAACTTGGAGAACTACTACAACCATCTTCAGAAATGTACAAGCATTTATAAACAGTTGTCTACAAAAGATGCTCAATGTCCGTTGACCGGATACGAGTAGAAACAACATACTGTGGGAGGGAACAAACCAACTCTCTTCTGGAGAGAATTTTTGTGGAAAGACGCTGAGGATGGATGGAATATGTAATACGCTAATCACCAAACTACATCATGATGCAGGCACTAAGATGGAATGATGAGGGGAAAATGGTAAGAGGGTGGTGACTAATGGTCACGTTGCGTTGGGAGTTGGAGTCGAACATGAAAAGAATGAATAGGAATTGGGAACAACTTGAGAGGAGAACTTGGGAGAGGGTTGATTGTAGAACGCTGGTCGGTAGCCTTTTCTCTCTCCTGAGGGGTAACTGGCTTTATTGGGTGAAGTATTTTTTTTAATTGGTAAGTAAAGATAATCCTAATACCTATATCTGCAATTTCTTAACCACTGCCTTTAATAGACAGATTTTATTTTCTGGTGTCCACTGAAAGTCTAATTTCTCGTTGGTTCTTATTGAGATTTAATTGTTAATAGTTCAACAAGCTACTGAAGCGGAATATTCACATCATATCATAAAATGACTGATAATTTCAGTAAAAATATTAGTGTGCGGATGTTAATCACATTAAACAACCACTCAGGCTCATTATAAATCAAAGGGGTCTTTTTTGCTAACACCAATAATATTTAACGACCTTGACCAATGGAAAATGTATTGGATAGGTAGGAATTCGTTATCATTCCTTATTTCTTTATCAAGTCCATCTGTCAAATGACATCGAAACTCCAAGACTGGATCATTGGTTAGGAAAATAGTTTTCTTTAGTCACTGAGCTTTATATGCGTTTATCCAACAATTACATTTACATAAGCTTGTTCACCATGAAATATATGATCAACAAGTAACTTATTCTACAGAATGTTCATTTGGAATATTTATTTTATACGGAATTTAAGATTTCTCTGTTTTTGTTTGTATGGATTTTATTACTTCACACTGGTTTTGTCATATAGCATTTCGGAACAACCTATTTTCAGACAATTTACAGTAACGAATATAAATGAAGAATTGAAAAATTCTGTTGATAACATTTTAAAGCCGAATTTCCCCAATGAGTATAATTTGTTCCGTTGGACTACGGTGACAGGATTTAAAGAAATTATTAATAACACTCGTGCAGTATGGTTAATTTTTGGTGGATCAATTGACAGGATAAACTTAAGTTCAGTGAATCCATTCTCAAAGAAAGTAGTCGGGGTTATTGCTTGTCGGTTAACTTACAATTCTGAGTATTCATTATGGCTACATTTAGATGAATGTTCTACAATGGAAGTTAAAAAAATATCAGATCAAGAAAATGAGCATGTTCCAAAACATCATGAAGGCACCACCCTTTTAGGAGTGAGCCTTGATAGTCTTGAGTTCGAAAAACCCATTAGTGGAGCAGTTATTGTTTATTGTGATCCTCTTTGGCATACTGGTGAAAGGAAATATAGAAGTCACTCTGTATTGGACATGAAATATCAAGAACAAGCTGGTGGTAGATGCCATATTCGTTTAAGACACAATGGTAAATGGTTGCGTCAGAGGAAAACAAACCAAACGGAAGACATTATTCAATTTTGTACTAACTCTGGCTATTCACAACCGTGTGGTGGAGGATTTTCATTTGATCTGCAACAAACTACAAGTATTGATACAACTATTCGTAGTTATCAAAATTACTACGATCATCTCAATTCACAGTTACCAAATATTCGGCTTCTTACCAGTTTATTTTTAGCTAATCCAGGTGAAGTACACATTTTAGATGACATATTAATGAATTTTAAAAACATTCCTGATCAACAACAAGCTGAATTTTCTGTTCACAGAATTCTAGGTAGTCATGTACAATTTAGTCAACAAGTTAGGTGGACACCACTTTCCAAATCTTGGAAACATTATTTGAATTTAGGAGATAATAACTCAGTTTCAGGAGGCGATGTATGGATGCATGAAAACCTAGCTATAGTTTCTTCATTAGGCAATTACTACGAACCAAATATAAAAGCTTTCAACCCCAAGTCTACAGAACCAGAAGGTTTGTTGGCTTACAGTATCACAAACAAAAATCGAAGCAATGCCGAACCATCTAGTGATTTTACTGGCTTCGGTTTCACTGTAGAGACGGTAAATATTCCTCAACACTCAAAAGGCAAGAGTGCTTCACGAACTAATTATGGTATTTTAATTGGAGCCCCGTTTGAGAGTTCTACGAAACAATACAATCCTAATCATGGAAGAGTGTATATCGTATGTCCAGAAGAACGTATTACTCACAAAACTGGCTTATTTTCCGTAGAAGGAACTCGAAAAAATGAGTTTTTCGGATATTCCATAGCTCGTCTAGGTGATATTGATGGAGATGGGATTGATGATGTGGCTATTAGTGCTCCAGCAATACAATCAAAGAAGATGGAATTACCTAATGAAAATTTAAATATTTCATTACATAGTGGTCGTGTCTATATTTATCGAGTTACATCACAGTGTACACTAGATCCACAACCTTTACAGGTAAAAGCTCATATTAATGTACAATTCATAAATATTATGGCAATTTTACTTCAGTTTATTTATTCTTCATGCTTTATATCATAAGAAATCACTATTTGTTAAAATTATTAATGATTACTTCTGAGGAATGTAAGGTATAAATGACCTATAAAGGGATTTACTCTGTATTAGGTTGATTTTGCAATAAATGAGTGATTATTATTCCATATTCAAACGCTCTATGAACGCATCAGGACATAGAACAAATGTCTATCCATTTAACTTGAGGTTTAAATCGATTTCATCAAGTCTCCTTTTCAAAAAGTTTGAGTAATGAATAATTTCATGTAGGAATAAGTTGAGCACATTACCTTGCCATTGGATAGTAAAGTATATTTGTTTAACTTTTAGTGATAAATAATAAAACTTTTATGAGTCACTGTAATTTTAACTTATGGTTGCTAGTAAAGCATATATCAGTCTGTTGATGAATTCATAAGAATTAAGGTTTAAACCATATTCTTTATATAACTTTTCTTCAGGAATAACGTAGACCGCTTTTCTGGTACTTTCTAGATTATAGAATCTCCTAAACCAGAGATCGGTGATGGTTTTGGAATCGGGCTATCAAGGGGGTTTGATGCTGATGGAGACGGTTGGCCAGAATTCGCTGTTACTTCGCTCAAACTGAATACTGTACCATATTTATTTACAATGCCCAAATTATTAAAATCACAATGTCGAATAAATATTCCACCATTATATTCAATGTTACACTTCAGAAAGGGTACAACAATACCATTTGAAATGAATGTACGCCTGTATGACCTACATTTGCGACAATATATTAACATTCCCACAGGATTAATTTCCACTAAAATACGTCATCATGAAGTGAATCCAGATGTACTATGGAATGACTATTTATATTCAAACAGTACCACTCAGACTTTTTCATCTGATATGTTAATAAAACAAAGAGTTGAGTTATCAACATTCGATATGTTCAATATTCAGCTTAATAAGTTAACACCTCGATTTCAACTAGGAGATAACAAAACAATTAATATCCGCTTGGATTCATCACAGTCATACATAGTAATAAAATTTCATTTAATAGCGATGTACGGATTAGAAGAAATGAATTTAAATAGTATACCATTGAAAATCTCATATAAATCTGGATTAAATTTGACTGAATGTAATTTTACGCAAAATATTGATAAATGTAATAAACAAGAACACCCTTTAATTGATTGGTCTGAATGTTCTCAGTTAATACAACTGGCCCAACCAGTTTGTATTCCAGCGAATGAATGTAGTTCCGATTTGAGTTTTAAGAACATAAGTTGGAGTTCAATACACTCACTGATGACTACACAAAGTTATAAAAATTCATTGACTGAAGTTAATAACTCGTTCATAAAAATTCTCAAATATGGACATCCAAATGAACAACAACAGTTGATCCAATTAAAATTAATTAACTTAGGTCCTACTAAGTCAACTGGACTTCATATTTTGACTCGTTTCCATAATTGGTACCTAGTAGATAATGAAAACCTGAGTTTAACTGACAGTATTCAAGGTAAAATCACTATGATAAATATTAAGAAGTTATCAAAAAATGAAACGAGTTCAATAAATCTCATTAATTCAACGGATGCAAAAATATGGACGATTAATAAACATGAAAATGGTTTATTAGCACTAATTTCATTATCTCCATATTTATGGATTTATCCCAATGAAATCATACAAATTGATATATATGTGTTTATTCAAGGTTTGTTGTCATTGCCGACTCTGTCAACTGGTCAAAAATTGAAAAATGATCTTATGCCATTTAGTTATTTAAATATGAATTATGGATATCCGCCAAAATTTGAAATTCAAGTAAAATCAGAAACAAATGATAAACAAAAAGAAAACAATTTAGTAAGTATACCATATAGAATTCTTTTTAAACCAATGGTGAATATTTTTGCGGGTATACAACCATCAACTATAATTGATGACAGGTCGGAACCTTATATGATTGAACAAAGTAAGAATACGCTTTTTTGTGAATATTGATTGGTATTAGTGTTTATGATATTCAGTTAAATTATATTTTGGGACAAAACCTATTTAATTGTCAGAAAAGGGTTTTGTGGAGATTATAGTCCTGGGTTCGAACTCCGCAAGACAGATCATGGATGTGCACTGCTGAGGAGTCTCATACTAGGACGAAACGGCCGTCCAGTGCTTCCAGGTTTTTCAAGGTGGTCTAGCTTTATTTGACTCATGAATTCAACTAATCAATTATTTAATTGTGCTAAAGAAATGATCTCATTCACAATAAAATGTTTAGATGTACTTTGTTTTGTCCAAGTTAACAGAAGAATTATATTAATCAACATTTGGTATATTGAGTAAAACATAATCAGCGCTTTATCGTTTTAAATATTGATAAACGTTTATTATAATAATTTAATTAAAACATCTTTAAATAAGTATCTCATTTAAGTTTGAATACTCTTTATAATTCTATTGATTATAATTTAAGTATAATCATTATTCCTGGAATAATGAAAACATTTAAATCTCACTGCATAAATATTATGTTCAGTTAAGGCAAATTTTTATAGTGACCAATAGAGGAGGAATTGTACAATGACATAGATTGTACAATTAAGATCAGATAGTATGACAAGTTAAGTTAAGTCTACGTATATATATAAATAAGTGGATAGATTTAAGAAAGAGTCGAGTTGTAAGCTGACTGTTTACTAAATCTTTTATAACTATGGAAGGATTTAGTTATTGGAAGGTTTTTTTTCAACACAAGATTAGCATTGTAATTTCCTGTAGCTTCTGTTAAGTATGAAAGACCAGATAGAAAAATATAACTGAATAACTCATGGTACTTAACCAATCAAATATTTATCTTTATTTTCACGAACTGCAAATAACTTACTTACTTACTTACTTACTTAAGCCTGTTACCTCCTGGTGGAGAAGCATAGGCCACACACCAACATTCTCCATACAACTCTGTCCTGGGCAATCGTTTCCAGTTATTTCCAGTTGTTATTCATCCTTTTGATATCTCTTTTTATTTCCCGACGTAATGTGTTCTTTGGCCTTCCTCTTTTCAACTTCCCTTCCGGATTCCAATTTAGGGATTGCCTCGTGAGAACTGCAAATAACAAAAACATATAAAAACCTTTGTTAGAATGAAGTAAATATTATTAAAGAGTGTATTCAACTCTTTAAACATCATGGCGTATAACTCCATTTTTATGAGCCATGATGTTTTTTTATTTTGAATGTAGGTGGTTAAACCTTCTTAATTAATATGATTGAACCTTAACAATTTTATTTCTTGTGTTCATTTCTGTGTATTATGTAAGTCTAGAAGGCTAATTTGAACGGTTAATAGGATGCTAAGCAAGGAAGACATTTTTACATTGTTCTAGGTTGAGAACTATACATTTTCATTTTATTTTATTTTACACTGCTTCACTGAAACTCGACATAAAGTAAACATACAATTTATAATTTCAAAAACAATTTGTGTACATTAATTAATGACAACAAACAACAACTTATCTTGTCTTTTTCTAGACCCAATATCACGTAAAATATTTTCGTATGATATTGGACCGCGAATTGAACATACGTTCCTTATCGAAAATCAAGGATGGATAGCTCTTACTAATCTAAGCTTAATCTTACAATTACCATATGAAACAACTAGCGGTCATAGATTATTGTATTTAACTGATCAAGTTCGTGAAGCGTCATACACTAATCAAAGTAAGTTGATTGATTACTTGCACTTTATTGAGGACGTGAGAAAACAATTCATTGCATTATATTCAACGAATTAAAATAGTGAAGTAAATATTTTACTTATCTATCTTACTTTTAATAATTATTTAAGCGGTCACCAAGGTCTAGTATCAGTTAGAGAATCAGTAAAATAACAGAGCATAAACACCTGATTACTCTTCCTTCACAACTTCAGAATAATACCTCTTATATGATTCAACTCTGTATTAAGTTTAAAGACTTCAAGTCAAGTAGACAGAGTAAAACTATTAAGTAAGTGATTTACAATTCAGCTGTTTAATATTTTTCTGCTTTTGTTAAATTAGAGTATTGTGTAATCGCTCTACAACATTGTTGGTCAGTATTTGTGTTTTATTCTACTTTGGTTTTTCTCATGTTAAATCCGTATTGCCTATTACTTATACTTAAAGACGAAGAACCACTACAATTCTCATGACGCGAACTAAAAACACGGAAGACTGCCACAAGTGGAAATTAATTCACTACAAACTAAACACTATGACAACTCTAGTAGAAAATACACTCATTTAAACATTGACTGAACACCCATTTTGATTATTAATTAGAATGAAATCATATATTTGAAAAATACCCAAAATTATAACAAATCACATGCCACGTGTCATGCTGATCATAGTTCATATTGATTTAATATACGAATATTGTATCTTCAATAAAACATCACACTCAAATCAGTGTTATACCGAATAAAATATCACACTAAGAAACAAACTTAAATACTACACTGAGTAATTATCATATTGAATTAAAAAAAGGTATGTAATGTTGAAAAAATAATCACAATAATTTAAGAACGTAATTTGTCTTTTGATCCCGTCATCTCAACACATAGATCAAGGTTTTCAACAGAAATTCCAAGGCATTGATGTTGAAGAGATTCACTTATAACTAAGAATATTTTACGTCATTCAGGTTGTTGATAAGAAATTCGTTGATTTGAAAATCATTTTCATCATCTGGGGATCATTAAATACTACTGTTTCGTGGTAATAACTGATGTTTCATAAATACTTTCACCAATCAAAATGTCGTACAGCAAACCGCATGTATTCTAATAGGTGATGATTATGTCATTTGTTTATTTAAATAACTTATACAATGTCTTACGATGTTAGAGTTAGTAGAAATCTCTGTGAACGTGATTTCGACTAACATATATTGAAATGACATTCTAAAAGTATTCTTTATAACTCATTTAAACCTTAAAAGGTATGAATTGAATTTATTGTATAAGGATATTAAAAGTTAATTGTACATAATAATTTATTTATTTTGAAAATAGATTTCATCAAAAGAAGAGAATCATTGAAAATCAGGGATCCTTGGTCTAAGATATCTCAGTATTGTACACCTACGATGGTAAATACGTTTGAACTAAACACTTTTAGTCTCATTAATTTGCAGAAATAAGTTGAAACTGTTTGACATACATCTAATTGTCATTAGAATTTTCTCGGCTTCTAGTCTAAAATACTTGAGAAATCTTGTGTGTAATTAATTTTTGTTGAAGTTTCACTAAATAATAATAAAATTTTCGGAGAATTTTTTGAACTTAGTTCCCCAGTATAAATGATTTACTTACAAACCTATTGTCTGTGTTACTATAACTTTCTATCTTACAGCAACTCTATTGAAGAACACTCTGCCAACTATAATCGGTTCCGATGGGAAACAATATGGTACTTGTGAAATACCGAAAAAAATCATTAACCCATTAGAGCTTACACTGATGGATTTCAAATTTATCAGTAAGTCTAAAAAATGTATTTTCTTTTTATATCCACCATGATCAATATTATTGAAACGATCGAAATATGTGAATATTAGATTAATGTAAAGATTCTATTGCAGAATATATGTAAGGATTTTATTATGACCTCTAATCTATTATACTCACTTGATTATAGATAAATAAATTGTACTATTAAATCATATTTAACAATAGCTCATTATATTAGGCTTTACATGGTTAGTTAATCATCTAAATAATCAAATTAAATGATAAATTAAGACAAATGTAGATTGAATAAAGTACTTGTTCGAAGGTTCCCAACAATTCGAAGATAATTTCTGTCAGGAACCAATATCACCCTGAGACTAAAAAAAAACAACAGCGTGCACTGATTGACTGTTTTTGCTCTGTGATTTCTGAGTAGTGAGGTCCTGACTTCCCTAGAAAGGGAATCCATAAACTTTAAGTTTCATAAGTCCAAAACATTTGAACTAATGAGTTGAAGCCTAGTGGTTCAAAGTTTCTTCAATCAATGATCTTGCACAATTCTCATTCAATGTTACTAGTTAATTTACCATTTTTGAGTTGGTTATCGTAGATTGTGGCTTTCAACTAAAACGTCAGGAAATCTATATATCATAAGTTATCAGATGATATTTAATTAAAGTTTCACAATCATTTTCATCGAATTCTGATCATTTCAATGTAATGAAATATATTTGGAGTACGACAGTAAGTACAAGCATTGTAGTCAGTCAATTTCTGAAACAATGAGGTATATCAATCTGTGAAGTCACTATAGCATAATAGAAGCACAAATTCTAATCAATGATACAAGTTTGACTTTTTATAACTGATTTTCATGCATGGAGGATAAGTACAGAAAATTTTAAAATCTGAGTCAGAATTAAAATATCTTTATATGAAGAAACCAAATAATCAGTTTGTTTCTACACTAAATATTGAAACCCATACCTTAGACATATCACATCACCATAATATAATAGGTGGTTTAATGTGTTCAGTAATTATTATGATTATTTTCAAATTATTCTACCGAACAGTTTTTCTAATACAGAATAAATACTTGTTTACAATTGTGTTATTCAAACCCTGGACAATGAATACGAGGGTAACACCTATGAAGTTAGACTAATATTGTTGAAATAAATAATAATTTTGACTATACAGAAAGAAATAGGTTTTCAGAAAGAATCTGATCAGTGAATCAAATAAAATCTAAGGTACCGTTAATTGCAAATCTCAACTCAAGTTGGTAAATGAATCATGCTAGGACCAAATCAACTTAAACAAGCTAAACATAGAATAATACTTGTTGATGGTTAAAATGTCCATATTTTTATTAATATAATCGATAAAAAATGTTGATATTTTTTGACATTAAATAGTGTCTTTCTTGGTTTCCACTGGCAATTAATTGTTTACTATGAACAAGTAAGTCAGCAATGAAAATCTGGTAAAATGTACAGTTACTGCTCTTCTCAGGGGAACTGTGTGTATGACGTTGTTTTTTATCTATAAATTATCATAAAGATTATTACTAAAATGGTATTAATAAAATGAAGTTTCATGAGCCTACATGATTATATGGTAACATACAATTGTCTCTGTTTATATCAAAACAAAGTAATTTACATTCATGAAGGGAACTACTTATACTTCGTCAGATATTGAAATATATTTTCCTTATAATAAATACATATTCATAACTTGTGTTACAGTCAAAAATACATCCAGATGATAAATTTCAGATAGAACAAGTACAGACATAAGATAGTCAATCACCTCTAAAACAAATCGTCCCTTCAAGTATCATATGGTGTAAAATTTCCTTTTTTTTCACTAATAAACAAGTTGAAACTTGTTTAGATTAAATCTTATCATTTATCTACTCATTTATTTTCACATTGATAAATATGATAATGCTAATTAATCATAGACCATGTACATCTATATAGCTCAACTTAAGTATGCGTTAAAAAACTGATAATCATTAATGTTGCATCTTGTGTATAATGAATAATAATGCAGAACAAAATAAAGCAATCTCTTTTCTGATGTTACTGTATATGTTCAAACGAAATCTCTACAAATACCTTAGAGATGAGTGAGATTTATGTGTTATTGATGGAGTATGTATCATTTCCCCCTTAACATTCATGCAAGCTATGTTATGTGATATAGTTTACTTCATAAACTTTGTCTTTGTTTTCAGGATATTACTGTGGTTGTCGAGGTAACTATTTATTTAAATTTCATTAATTACGCTACGCTTATAATGTTGGTATTCTTTGTCGTCATCTGAGTTAAGTCTCTTTTGGTTTTCTATGAAAATGGTCGGTTATCTAAGTTCTATTTGTCATAAAAGGTTAATCCATTGTCTTCAGAATTACATTTTTATTGTTCATGATTCAATTATAGTTACACAAATTTCTCGTTTCTGTTACACAATGTTTTATATTATTTATTGGTTAGAACTATGTTTTAACTAATCTGTTTTATCATGTGAGGTTATACTAATCAAAACGGATGATAAATAACCACTGCAGTATCTAAGCTAACAGTTCTTTTTATAACAAAGAATATACTTTTAAGTCAATTATTTATATCGTTTTACAAGGCCATCTATATTCTGAAATTAATCTGATTACATATATTTATGTTACTTTTTTGGTATATTTCATCTACTACTGATTGGGGGGGGGACCTGATAACATAAAGGTTAATACTTTTGGTTAAACTGTACTACACTTCTTAACTGATTAGGTTTCGCAAAGTAAACTTTAGGCTTCAATACAAAATGTTAAAAGTAATTTTATGTATAAATATCTTAGTGAGTGTTTAATAAATTAATTGATATGTTTTAAGTTTATAAGGATGAATTTGTAGTATCATAGTAGAGTAAAACTGGCGGTATATAAATCAAAAGAAATCCAAAATGTCTTTTGTTTAGATCTAAACTGTTTTGACGACATAAATCAATTACAACGAACTCATTTAGTGCCTGTTTAAAGATACCTCTCTTCTAGGTCTTGTTATTAGTAATAAACTGGATAAAAACGACTCTTTCTCGTACGTATAATTGGAAAGTTTTGTATATATATATATATATATATATATATATATATATATATATATATATATATATATATATATATATATATATATATATATATATATATATATATATATATATATATGGAGAGAGAGAGAGTTACTACATTCCCCCATCACAGTAAATTTTTGTAGGCCTTTTACTAGTCAGCCCAATGAATGGCCGAATACGTAAGATATTTTAAGTTTCAAGTGTGGCATTAGATTTCGACCATCATAAACCTTTTATTTAGAACTGAAATGATTACTTATCAGGAGGGTAAAAATCGCGCGAAATCTCATTTGCTACATTTATGTTTGACCATTTTTAGTTTCGAATAGGTTGCATCTCAATGTAGTGAATTGATATGGTAGTCTTTTTGTAGAATATCATGCTATGAAATACTTTGTGATTAAGTTATGAGTTAACTTACATATTATGATACCATTTTCTTCAGATTTTATGATTTCAAGCTTACCTTTTGATATGCCTTACTTACATTTTCCTGCAAGTTCATTTTATGTCATGGAAAGATATCGACATCTATTAAAGGATATTTTTTAGTTATACTGAAAATATAAGAAAATCCACAGTATTTCATAAGGTAATTACATGATGTGAATTAGAAAATATCTTTCATTTTTCAAAATTTTCTTAATGCATCAATTGTATACCAAGGGCATGATTACATAATGAAATAAGCTATCACAATCAGTCGAGTCTGTTATGTTTTCCTTAAACATGTGGGGTTTAACTAACATCATTCTCAGCTTGCGAAGATTTCTGAATTTTATTGAATCATGAACCGACCAATGCTAGACCACCTTTGAAAACCTGAGAATACTCGACAGCCTTTTATTCCACATCAGTACTGAGTTGGAATTCCGTGTGCTGTATCGTAGACACGCACTGCTGAGGAGTCCCATACTAGGACGAAAAGGCCATCCAGTGCTCCAAGGTGTTCAACAATGGTCTAAAATGGGTATAAAATCATGCAATCAGCTTTTCGGTGATGTGATTTGAATAAGTTTATAAAGTATAAACCAATTAATTCCATTTCTACTGACTGAACAATATTGTTCTTTCCTATGGTTTACTATATTTTGAAGTTTTATTCTCTATGAAATGAATGATATTGAAAAGTCCCTGAATTAGATTAAATTACTATCAAATACAATCCAGATTTGAAATAGTTCCCGCCATTTAATATAATTTAATGAGATAAACTATCTTAATATATACATTTGTCAAAAAGACAAACAAACACAGAGTGTCCGACTATATATTGAGAATTTAAACATTCAAGTTTATATTTGATTCAATAAAGTTTGTTTGTAACAATGAAATATCACAAAGAAATTTATATAAACAAAGAAAATCCGTCTGAATTTATATTAAAATGGTTTATTGTTTTATATCTTAGATACTAAAAATATATTAAAAATATACAATGACATTTAACATATGTACTTTTATGTACCTAGAATTTGTCAATATAAACTATGCTATTATAAAAATCCTAAGAAAATTTGAAGTTTGTTTTAACTCTTATGATTGTTATAACTATTATTGATTGGGCTATGAATCATATATATATATATATGCTTACATAGGTTGGTGACATTGAATATATACGACGAAACGGCTGTCCAATGCTTCCAGGTTTTCCATGGTGGTCTAGCTTTAATTGACTCATGATTTCAACTATGCAAATTTTGATAATGTCTGCTATTAGTAACAAATAGGGTAATTCAGAAAGACCTCTAGTTGATTTTTTCAATAATAATACCTTCTTAGTC